GCGCCGCTATGCCATCTCGGTTCTCAACCTCTAGCAGAACACAAGCTAAGATAACGATCTCTTCACATTCTGATCTGTCCCCAACTCTACTTTTTCAATTAAAAAGGGACCAGCTGAGTAATGGGGCGGATGAGGACCTGTAGCATATACAGGTCTCATCACATATACAGACATGTTCCAGGCCCCCCCCCATTTTGTGTATTAGGCTGAAACATCTGTGCCACCAGAATTTGTGCTGACAGCATGGACTCTGTATTAACAACATGATACAGGTGGTCTTCTCGTATCATCTGGTTCCTTTTCTCAGCTTTTCTCAAAAAGATACAGGTTACCACCCACTTAAGCCAAGCTGAAGAGAAGGATGTGTTGTTCTGGAAATCAGCATTCAGCTGACCAGCCTCATGGGAGCCCCCTCTTCCGTGGCACTTAAAAAGGTCCTAAGGAAAAGGTAAAGGTTCCCCTTTACATTTAGTCCAGTCGTGTCCGACCCTAGGGGCGCGGTGCTCATCCCTGTCTCCAAGCCATAGAACCAGCGTTTGTCCGAAGACAGTTTCCGTGATCACGTGGCCAACGCAACTAGACAGGGAACACTGTGACCTTCCCACTGTGATGGTACCTATTTATCTACTCACATTTTCCATGCTTTCGGACGGCTAGGTTGGCAGAAGCTGGGACAAGCTATGGGAGCTCACTCTGTCGTGGGGATTCGATCTTATGATGGCTGGTCTTCTGACCTTGCAGCACAGAGGCTTCTGCTGTTACTCTGCAGCGCCACCCACGTCCCTTTGGTCCTACATAGCTTCTAAATGCACAGAAGGCAATGCACCAATCTTTCAGCTCCTTTATCCATGCAAGGGCCTTAAGCAGGTGCAGGAGCGCCAAAGTCATGTCAGAATTGACCTCAGCAGTTCCTAGACATTATACAGGACATTTTTAAGTTAAAAAGAATAGAAGTGGGTGGATTTGTAGGGCAGCCCTCTGGCATGCATAGGAAATTTGCACCGAAGTCAGCCATATTGATTTAGTCTATACAGACATCCCCTGGAAGGTTTTTCTACCATCCTGAGAGGGAGGAAGGGAGAGAGGGAGGGCTGGTGATGGATGGATGGATGGAT